ACTTTATTTAAATTTATCGGGCTACAAAACACCATACTCAAAGTATGTATTTCTAGGAAATTTAATTAAAAAGCTCNACAGGCGATTTTCGATTCAACACAAATTGTCATTTACATTATTTAAAATGAATTTAAATCGCAAAATTTTATCAATTGGCGTAAATTTGGTAAGCCAGCGTTGGTAGAAGTGCTTTTAGCGAAGCTGAAAGATAAAATAAAAGTAAAAAATTAAAAAGAAAAAAAGTATGTATACAGAACAGTGTTGGCATTTTTGGTACAATTGTGTTTTTTTGGTACAATTTCGTTTACAATATACTTTCCTACTACGCAGTACTTTTTAGTACAATTTCGTGATGAATTCCATGAATATATAGGCTTTGAAAACTCGCTGCGGGGAATTTTCTATTCTCATTTTGTCTTCGCCATCTCGTTTTTGTCTTTGTAATTTTTGAAATCTCATTAAAAAAAAAAATTGGGAAATCAGCTTCAGGTAGAAACAGTGTCATCGTTAATTAAGAAAGAGATGTTCTTAAATATCATAACTTTATGACACTCACTCGTTTATACTTTTTTGTTTATAAAAATAAAATTTATTCCGTAACAAAAAATTAACGTAAAAATTTCCAGCTTTCTTTTTCATTTTTTTTTTTAATATTTTGCAGTTGTTTAGCTCATTCAGTTGTGGTGTGGTGTGATGTGTGGTCTGTTTTTGACGATGTGGCCATTTTATTCCATATTCCACGATTTTTTCAATGAAGAAAATGAGCAACACCTCCATACAAAAAAAAAATATATATATTAAAAATCAACGATAAGTCGCAGCTATTTTAAATTTGCACTTTATTTAAATTTATCGGGCTACAAAACACCATACTCAAAGTATGTATTTCTAGGAAATTTAATTAAAAAGCTCGAAATTTTTACGAAAGTTTGTTGATCTGATGATGCGCAAAGATTGAACCTCGGATTTATACGGGTTTTGTTAATGTGTAAGCTAAAAGTTAAAAGTATAAGCTGCATTTTTATAAACAAATAATTAAAATTAAATAACTTTAAGATAAAAAACCAATCTTGTTAATATGTGCGTGTCGTAAAGTTGTGTTAAGCACTTGAAATACTATTAAAATGTCAAGTTTGAGTACTGAATTCAAAGAAGAGGTATTTTTATCCATTCATAATAACTTAAAAAAATTTGTTTGTTGAGAAGTGTGCCTGAAAATATGTACATACACATTTATATTAAAAGTGTAAAATATGTAAATGTACCCACATAAACTTTTCCATGAATACCATCAAATCATTGGTCTTGAAGGGAATCTATGTATGCATGTACGGAGTTGTGAAAAATGCATTAATTTTTTAATGCATCAAAGGTATTTAAATTAATAATGTTAATTTAAAAAATTAATGAATTAATTTTTGAAATTTAATGCAAATAAAAATTTCAATGCATTAATTCTGAAAAGTTGAATGCTAATGAAACTGGTTTTCATTAAATTATCCAAGCTAGTGCTAATGAAGAAATCTTAATGCACTAAAACTTTTACTACTTTTGCTTGTTGGCATTATTAAAAACCATTCCATTTTTTTCTGTTGAAATATATGTAAGTAACCTCTTTTGGAAGGACTTAGAATAATGACTAACAGTTTTTCAGCTTCATTATATTATGTGTATTTGTAGAAAAATTCGTCTAAACATTGTTAGATGTCTTATCAAAATAAATGCAATGTGCATGCAACTCAGTGTGCTTTTGTAGATTTTTATGTTGATTGTTGATGCACACCGCTTACATATATTATGGGCCAAAAACGGAGAGAGAGACAATTTAGTAGCACATGTACACGACTGAAGACCTACTCTGATCTAAATCAATCAATAAACGGTTTTTTAGTTCCACTTGACAATGTGCCTTTACCTATTTAACGACAAATGCCATTGAACTTGATATAGTGAAAACCAGCCTTAACGTCTGTCACTATCTTTTTTTACCTTAAAATTCTACCCTCAACGTCAACAAAGAATTTTTACTTCAAAATTAAATTTGTTAATGGGTTTTTAATGCTTTTTATAATTTTTATGCAATCAATTATTGCAATAGCATTCATTTATACATTGGCGGCCGCTGTGGTGTAGTGGTAAGCAGTGCGCGCTTCCACTCCGCAGCACCTGGGTTCAAGCCCTGGTCAAAGCAACATCGCAAAAAAAATTTAGAAAAAAGGTTTTTTCTTGACTGCGGTCACCCCTCGGCAGGCAATGCTAAACTTTCGAGTGTATTTCTGCCATGAAAAACAACTTCTCATAAAAATACAATCGCCGTTCGGAGTCGGGGTACAACTGTAGGTCCCTCCCTACGCACGTACGCCGCAAATCGGAGGAGAAGCTCATATGTGTAAGCGCCAATCTATTATTATTATTAATGTTAAAGCAAAAAAAAAATCGTTAGCATTATTTCTTCGGAATTAATGCATTGAAATATCCATTTTCATTAAATTTCGAAAACTAATGCATTAATTTTTTTCATTTACATTCAAATGCTATGCTTAAAAAAATTAATGTATTTTTCACAACTCTGGCATGTACTAAGAAAATATATGAGCAAAGTAAAAAGTGGGCACAACTTACTGTCGAAAAGTACAGCTTTTGTTTAGATTTCGTACTGAAGGAACAATTTCATTTCCCAACACTGATACAGAATATAAACAAACACAGGGTTGCAAGGAAAAAAATTTGAACGAGTCCAAAGTTGGCTGTTGACCATGAACCAAAAATACAAGATCACGTAAGAACTCGACGTTGTATTTGTAACTGGTTTTGAGAAAAAAGTTTGCGAAAGCGGGTTCGTCAGCTGAGCGTTTGTTTACATCACAAGCACCACTATTTTACACTTTTATTCAAGTAAAGAAGAGTTAGTTCAACATGACAACACATTTTAAAGCATTTTGTTGTATCATTTTACCCAAATTGTGCGTTTAAAGTGGCTGACAATAATTTTGGCTAATTTTGGTTTTCGTTGTTTTCTTTGCTTTGTTTACATTTCGCTCGTTTTCCAGTGGAACAAGATGGCGTAGAACCCACTAAAAAAAATCGACTTTTTTCACTCTCTTGTTCTTACGTGATCTTGTGTCTTTCGTTCATGGCTGTTGACCAAGAATGATAGAATACAAGATCATGAACGAAAGACACAAGATCACGCGGGACGGAAAGAACGAAAAAAGTTATTTTCTAGCTGCCGAAATCTCGACGCCATCTTTGCTGTAAGAAGTAAACAACGAAGAGAACGGAGAAAACCGCGAAATTGTTGAACGCATGAAAAATCATTTTTATTATGCAAATTCTTCTAAAAATCATGCCGTTGTGTTAAATTATTCTTTATCTTATGTGTACACACGTTGTCACAAGCGAAAATGAATAAAATTGCAGTAAAAAGCCACCACCAAATTGTAAACAACGAAGAAATGTAAATAAACGGCTAATGTTCAAAATCGTTCAACTTTTTTCCTTAATGCGATTCTAACGGGCTACTCTCCTGCCCGCGTGATCTTGTCTTTTTGGTTCATGATACAAGATTGCGCCGTCCTGGGCGTTGACATTTGTGTACCACAAGTAAACAAAGAATAGAGCGAAAAGAAGAACGAGTTGAAACAGCCAAAGCAGTTCACTTTACTGCGAAAAACGTGTTTTAATTTTGCTAAATGCGAAAATATTGCATTTTTCACCTAATCTATTAGAGAACAGTGAACATTGTGGTGCACTTCATTGCTTTGCAATTGAGGCTGCTTCAGCAAACGTTTTAGTACACTCCATTGCTTTGCTATTAAGGCTGCTGCAGAAAACTGCAGCAGCGTCTCTGCTGGACTGATTAGTTAACTTGCTAATGGAGGCTGCGTGGAGCAGAAACCAAATCATTGTGAGGAAATGCTGTTAATATAATAATAGAGAAACATTTCGGGAACGGCTTTGCCGTGCCCTATGTACACAAAATGCAACGATTCGTCCCAGCGCTACACTTGCATCTACGCTTCTTGCATCTTGACGGTTGTCGCAATTTAACACACAGCACTTCATTGTATTCATTGTATACGCAGTCTTCAACTCAAAAATCACTCACAAATTGCAAATTAACACGATTTAAACTGATTTTTCACTTATAATTCAACTTTCTCTTTCGTTGATTTGTAAACAAAGGTTTATTTACAAGTTACCACAACTGTCAAAATCGGTAAAACCAAAGTAGCGGTACCACTGACGGCGCCACCTTTGTTCGCTGCACCGTGTCTGTTGACCAACTTTGTTGAAAGCGATTAGTTGAAAGGCTGTTCGGACGAGGCGATTTTTGCTTTCAACTAAAAGTAGCCTGAAAAATCGCTGCGTGCGAATGCCCTATTACGTGTAGGCTGCCATCAACCAAAAATTTCTTTCGTTCATGGTAGGCTGCCACGTTTTTTGCTGTTAAGGTGAAATTAGTCAGAAACGCAGAACGTACACTTAAACGCCGTCTGTATACGCAGAAATTTGTCGATTACTGGAGGCCTGAGTGTTCCTTTCTACAGGGTGTCCACTCATCAATGCCTTTTCATAAACTTACCTTTTCAACTAAAATTTTTCATGCTATAATAGATCGTAGCTATATATAAACTACTTAGTTTTGAACAAAAAACCTTATTCAATAGTAAATTTTAAATATTTTAAACGTATTTTGAATAGGATATTATAACTTTTTTACCATCTGCAAAACTGACGAATTGGCAACCATCTATAGAAGGAAGAAATCAGCTAACACGGAAAAATCTAAATTCCGAAGATTTCTGCGCTACGGGCTTCAACTACAGAAAAATTCCGCGGTGTTGAGTTTTCATTTACATGGCGCTCTGGTAAGACAGGTCGTGTCAGCAGACTCGGATTTACGTACCGGTAGGTTTACGTTCTGCACTAATTTTACCTTTAGTAAGCCAATTAGCCCATAAAGTGTTGGCAGCTCTTTTTTACTGTCAGGTCATGTGTCAGGTTCACAAAGGACGAAATATCGTGCCGTCTGGTGTGTATTGTTGGTTATAAATAAGTACGAGTTTTAGTCATGAACCGGTAAATTTAGTTTTATGGTGCACAAAAATAATAGTTTGGCCGTGTAGTTTCTAAAGTGTAGCTGACGAGATTTCTATTCACAAGAAGTTAAACAAAATTTAACGGAAATTGTGCGAGAATATGGAAAAATCGCCTCGATGTAATTTGGAATTTGTGCGCGACGACGACTACGTTGAATATTTTATTTTCCAAATTTTGTCAGATAAGTTAACAAATATACAAGAAAGCAGTGTAGAGCTGGAGCAGCTCCGAGGGGAATTGTCTCTACTTGAAAAACAATGCATGGAAATCGTGAACAGACGGGTTGAAAGCTATGGCTATATTTGGCACAAAGATGAATTTAAATTACAAATGCGCACCGAGTGTGCGCAGGAACGACTGTTGAATAACGAGGTTAACAATAGCTCGCTTGGTTCTGTCGCAGGTGAGTAGCTTATTTTTATATTTTATTACCCATATCTATGTTAAAAAATTGTGTATATAAAAACAGCATTACCTCTACCCCCCCATCTGCATGGCATTTCACACTATGGAGAAAATATCGAAGATGAGTGGTTCATAGTCCACCTTTTATATGAGTTAACACGTGAGGTGCCAGGCTGCATTGCTCGTGTCATTGACGCTGATGGAGAGTTTCTCCTAGTTGAAGCTGCCGAGGCACTTCCAACGTGGGCCAATCCAGAAAGCTGCGAACAGAGAGTACGTAATCATAATTGATATTTCTTGAGTCATATATTAACTACAGATATTCTTAGGTTTACATAGCTGACGGCCACATGCATTTGGTTCAAAACTCACCATCTACTTCCTCAAAATTATTATCGGTTGGTGCAGCAGTTGAGAAAATAAGACAGAACCCCACTCTCTATCGTGTATCTAAGGAAATTCAAAATTGCATTAACGAACGTACGAAAGTTTTTAATGGAAGTAGTAATCCAGCAGCACATCGCCAGATAATGCGTTTACCTTTGGGTGTCGCAGCGCTACTTAAAACTCGTCCATCGTTGATTGCACCAGCTGTACGAGCTTTCTGTGAACGTGATGCTATTGACTTAAAGGTTTGCCGTTCAATGCGGTATTTCCCACCTGAGCAGTGTGTTCGAACCAATGTTCTATTCACTCGTTGTCTCTACGCTATGCTTATGCACACAAATTACAAGCCTGACAAGAAAGTTGGCTGGGTGCTAAGCAATACTACTAATACTAAAGAATATAAAGAGCAGATATTAGGCATACAAGTTGCGTGCGGTTTTGAAATTTTAGCCTCTCAGGCTAAATGTGCGAATCAAGATGAAAATGATCCGAATTGGCGTTCTTATGTTAAAAATTTAACGTCAAAAGGATATTTTCGAAACAACTTAGCGGGCTCAGAAGTGTATAAACGTCTGTGGAACGAAGCACGTACATATTTTACTAAAAATAATGACCGCTTTCGCATAACGCCATTAGTTGGATTAGAAATTTTAAATTTGCTACAGAATGTAGATATTTCGGCAGAAAATTTGTGCGATGAAGAAAACAATCTGGAGGTACGCAAAACTTCTATATTTTACTTTGTTAATATACTGTACTAATCCTATCCTTAGCCGAGTGATGCCGACGATTGGTTAAATATTAGTGCAGATCAGTTGGATGCAATGTTGATAGAACGATATGGTCCCAAAAAAATGCTTAACTCGAATGGTGACATAAATGCCGCTGAATTTACAAAAAATCTCGCTGATTTTCTTGATAAAGAATCTACATACGAAGGTATAGACGATGATGAAATTGAGGATTCAGATAGTGATTGTATCGAGGCGGAAACCAGTGCAACGCCTAAAAAGAATGACGACCCAAAAGTTAACCTTAAAAAAAATCATTCCATGCGTAAGGCTTGTAATCGGAACTCAGTTATTAATGAAACAGCAAACGCAAATCGAAACAATCAAGCCACTAACGTGGAAACTGAAGATAGCACACATGTACGAAATTTTTTGGATTTCGTTATTCCAGAAGACAAATGGGACTCTACTTCTGAAATGAGTGACTATGAAGATGATGATAAATTGGAGCACAATTTTGAATCAATGGCAAATTCCGACAAAAATATTGATAGTCATATCAAAAATTACATGGACCAAATGGATAAAGAACTTGCTAAGACCACTATTGGTCAAACATTTGAGAAAAATAGCTCTTTTACGGCTTCCAAAAACGCAGATGATTTCGATGACATCGAGTCATTTCAACCGATTAACATCAATGTAAACACTTTAAAGAACATAGTGGATAGCTACAAATCACAGTTGGGAGGATCGGGCCCAGTTTCGAATTTGCTGAGTGCAATGGGTGTGGGTATGTCAAATGCAGCACAACTCGACAGCGACGATGATGAAGCTGATGTTTTAAAAGAATCCAGGGTATAGGCTTAAGACTCGTAAATATGTACATACATATGTATGGAAATGTACATATAAAGCGCTGGGATCTGAAATTTTTTTGCATCACTGTATTATTTATATGTGTCCAACTACGTCTTGATACGCCTTGGTCACTGGCACATATTTTATGTCGTGCATTCAATTCATATAGTTCTAGGATGTGCCCATTACATCCAAAAGTATCTTGTTATGCGAAGGCTTGTATTAAAGTAAATTTACGAACAATATTTTTTTTATTTTTCCATATATTGATAAAACCGTGTAATAATTTTGGTTGGAACAAGTGCAGAATACCTACATTTCACTACTTTGAACTTCAATAACACCAGCAATTATTATTTCCCCAATAAAAAATTATACTTTTTTGATCAGAACTAAATTTTAATCAGATAAATGTACGTATTCTTCACTTAATGCTGTTGTTCCCAGCTTCTACGTTCTTTGAATTTCAATAACACCAGTAATTATTATTTTCCGCACAAAAAATTATACCGTAACGATCAGGATTAAGAGTCCTATCGATCCTAACATAAATTTTTTTAATTTGGGAATTGTAGGTATTCTACATTTAAGCTATTTTGGTTAAATATAGCCGTAATTATACGCTGAAATCTTAGTTTTCGATTAATCTTTAGAGGCAGGGACAAAATTTCCATAGTCTCTTCGTACATTCATTGGTTGATGCGGGCGCTCCTCACGACCATTGCCACCACGGAAGTTTCTGTCGGTGGGGTTATCGTTGAAAAGTCGGTTACGTCTGTACAATTGACCTCCGCCGACGCGAAATCCTCTGCCATGAGCATGATCTCGGCCGCGTTTATTCCAACCTCCGCGATTATATTTGCTGCCACCTCCATAATTGTTTCGTTGCCCAGAAGAACCGCGGTAGCTGTTGCTGGACCCAGAATAGCCCCAATTTTCAACTATTGGTGGGTCAGCGAGCGGTTTCGAGCAGTGGTTATAAAAATCAGCGTCCTCGTCAGTAAAGCGATTCGAGAATTCCTCCTGGCATTCATCTAAGAACTCGATATCTTTCTCCGTTAGGCGGTTAATTTTACGATTAGGGTCGACCATCTTCAAAGGTTGAGTAAAGAAAATTCCACAATTTAGAAAATCCACAAGACTGCCAACTTCGCCCGCAACTACATTATTTTACATTAATAGCGAATAGAAAATCAAAGAAAACAGTGAAATTAGCTGTTCATGTACATTCACAATGACAGCAAAGTCAAGGCGTATTCATACTACGGCAACACAAAGCGAACAACGAGAAATAGACAGAATGTTCGAGGAATGANCAGCTGTTCATGTACATTCACAATGACAGCAAAGTCAACGAAGAGAACGGAGAAAACCGCGAAATTGTTGAACGCATGAATAATCATTTTCATTATGAAAATTCTTCTATAAATCATGTCGTTGTGTTAAATTATTCTTTATCNCGTCCGAGAGTTGCCATGAGTGCGAGCGCAGGTATAAAAGAGCCCCAAGAATGATAGAATACAAGATTGCGCCGATCAGAGAGGATTTATGAGAATAACTTTTGTGTGACGTCACACTCATGGGCGTGGCCAGGTAGGGGCAGAGGGATGCTCGAGCCTCCCCCCCTAACTTTCAAATTTTCCTTATATCTATATAAAATAGTACCCTGAAATGCCAGCTTAATATGGTCGAGCCCCCCCTAAATTTCATATCTATATTGTAATATATCATTTAGTTTATCAATTAAATTGCGCAAAATTTTTTAACAGGTGGCAATCCTCCTTTAAAATATTTTCGCCTGTGAGCCTTCTTTAAATTCTTTAGTTTTATACCCACATTGCAATATTTCATTTACTTTATTAATTTAACTGGGTTAAAACTTTTAAAACCCTCCTAAAAAATATTTCCAGCAGTTATCTTTCTTAAATCTCTTTAATTTAATATCTATATTGTAATATATAATTACGTTTATCAATTAAATTGCGAAAAAATATTTAACAGGAAACAACGAAGAGAACGGAGAAAACCGCGAAATTGTTGAACGCATGAATAATCATTTTCATTATGAAAATTCTTCTATAAATCATGTCGTTGTGTTAAATTATTCTTTATCTTATGTGTACACACGTTGTCACAGGCGAAAATGAAGAAAATTGCAGTAAAAAGCTACCACCAAATTGTAAACAACAAAGAAATGTAAACAAACGGCTTATGTCAAAATCGTTAAACTTTTTTCCTAAATGCGATTCTAACGGGCTACTCTCCTGCCCGCGTGATCTTGTCTTTTTGGTTCATGTATGTGATGTACATAAATCTTATATATGTACATATATTTTTACACATACATATGCAAGACTTGCATTGCAAGTATGTACATCATAGGCAAGGCGTATTCAATAAGGTGGTATCGGTACGACAATAACAAAATGTTTTTGGAATCGATGAACTTACTCGAAGAAGACGATGGTCGAAAACATATGATGAAACATCTTCTGGCGTGCCTTTGACATTCGTTAAGTTAGACGGAGGCTTCACATACGATATTTCACACATGGCTGGAATTCGTTAGCGGACAGAGCACACATTTACAAAATATTTATCGTTCTGCAGAACGTGCATGCATATTCGATTCCGATTTTATGGGTCGATTACGGAGGACAACCGAACTTCAGTGGGTTGGCCAGTGGCTGAAATGGTATTACCGATGGCAACTAGCAACTGAAAGCTGGTAACTGAGTTGCTATATTGGCACGAACTAATCAAGGCTGTCATAGAATCCATCGTAGTCCGATTTTCCGTGAAATCTACGAAAATCCAATTAAATTCGAGTAGCTACGAACGCAGTGCTTGCTTTGAATACACATGTTCATAGCAGTTCAGATTCAGTGATCGCTTTTTTGTAGATTTTACGAAAAGTCGGACTGCGATGGATTCCGCCACCAATATATTTTCTCCTTTGAAAAGATGTTGGAGAATCCCGGCAGCACAGCCCTATACCTACCCTATGCTCTTACGTGCATATGCTAAATTTCTCGTACCTAGCTAAAGTGCTTGACAAAGGCAGAAGGCTTATCTTCAACATTATAACTTAAAGTAAAAGAGTTAAAGATATGCAATAAAAGAATACAACAGAACCAAAAAATCTCAAAACTATTAAACATAAAAAATTGCACGAATAAAATTCATAATTTAAAATAAAATAAAATATCGCAATTGTTTTTTATATGTACATACATATTTACAAAANGAAAATAAAATAAAATATCGCAATTGTTTTTTTATATGTACATACATATTTACAAAATGAATCTTAAAGCACCCACAGTAAGTCCTAAACATATAAACGACTAATAAGAAAAATAATAAATAACAGTAATGTGAACAAGTATGTCGAGAAATCTCTAAATAGTAGCGAAACTGTATCTGAATAATAACAAGTAATTTTGAGCAAAAAATACAACCGACTTTAATGCTCATTCAGGTCGTTCTGGTTACGTAGATCCGACTGTCCTCCCTTTTTTTAAAAAGGTTAAAAAAATGAATACGTATTCTACAGAAATCAAGATACATATTTAAGGACTTTAAGTAAAAATAAACAAAGGAAAACTTGTTCGTGATATCTCGAGGTGTATCCATGATACAAAAATCTGAAGGTAAA